ATGTGTATGATCGCTAGGCGACCGATTAGCCGGCTGTATCGAACAGCCATACGTACGCGCGGGAAATAAATGCCTTCCGGGAGGACTTTTATGGGGAACTGGCCTCCTATTCAGTCGTTATAGGCAAGGAGAAAACCCGGAAAACTCCAAGCAGCCAGCCTGTCCGACCGTGGCGCGAACCCACGACGAACCTCCCAGTCTTTAGGGTCTGGTCACCACTACGATGAGCGGCAACGGAGACCACTCGCCCACTGGTGGGGGCTAAGAAATGTTCTCTCGTACATCTTTGCTTTTAACGCATTATACTGGCTGGATGACCGTCTTATACCCCAGTAGAATGACTAACATCCCTTGTCGAATACTAATACACGCAATAGTATAGAACCAAACACTTGGTTAAACGTCCAATTTTAATAGAGCCGTTTAATGCAACAAATTTATTACCACCATACGAAAACTATTATTGAAAATCTGCAGTGCGTCGGAGTGTTTGTTTCTACACAAAAATACTCGTCTTTCCTTGCAATGATTGATACATAGTAGGGAAAAAACTTATAAGTAACGTAGTTCACTAGAGGAAACACTTCTCTAAATGCTCGAGTTGCTGTATCGAGGCACTTCATACACGAATCATGGAAAATATACGCGAAACATCTCTTCTGTACCATTTTGAGTTCAGAATGTTTCAGCTTCTCCAATTTTCTTTTGGCAGTTTTATAACAAGTTTCGTCTGGAAGAATAAAAACACCGAAAGCATTTGCTCTCTTCCCATAAAATACTGTGAGTCTGTATACATCTCTGTGTATTGAGTAATTTATGAAAGGTTTAGTTTTGTCTTCGTATGGACATACTGCAAAATCTTTGTACAAAATGAAACATTTAATTTCTTCGTCCGTTATGTTCATTTTGTGGCATACTTTCTTTATTTCATTCTTTAAACATGATTTGTCAGAAAGCATAGATTCGTTTCCAACGAGTTTGAACGGATAATTAAAAATATTGAAATCCGGAATGTTTGGAAACATTGATATTTGTATTTCGGTTGTTTCTTCTATTGATGAGAACTTACAACGTTCAGTAAAAGAGCGTATTTCATCTTCATCTGAAATTAAAAACGTGATGGTTAATATCACTTGATGAAGAATCTGAAATTCACAAAGTTATTTACTGTACTTTGAATAAATAATAATCATATACTTACTAATTGGGTATGCAATCCCTACATAAAGATGTCCCAGATAAACATATTTATATTGAGAATGAAAATTACGTACAGATTCGTCACCGAAAACGAAACAATTGTATTGAAAATTATCGCCGAACTCAGCGTAACGATGTAGTTTTTCCGATTCGTAGATTACGGAGTTTATTACGTTAAGAGGGATTTTCTGTTTAAAGAAATTACAATATTAACAGTTGTAAATTTATTTAGATTATAAACTAATTAATTGTGTTTTACTTTAAATGAATATTTTAACATAACTTTGCGTTATTGTGATCAAGGTAATGCATAAAAAGACTCTGCAATTTATTTTAATTTTTGTACTAACTTTTTTACAAATGCAAATGTTCACAATGCAACAGCTCAGTGCAATGCTTGGCAGGATGCAGGATGCACTTGCATCCTGTCAAGCACAACTAAATTGCCTAATAATACTTACTCTACCGATTGTGAAGTGAAATTTACTCAGTGCCGGCCCGAGGCAAGTTTTAGGATGGAGCGAGATCCTATTATGGCGCTCCCTTGGTTGCCCCTAATTTATACACTTTAATTTTATTTACCACTGAGGCGCCCTTTAGGACTTAGCGCCTGGAGCGGCTGCTCCGTTCGCCCTATGGTAGGGCCGGCTCTGCATTTACTCAAGACAAATGCAAAACATTTTGCATAGAAAAACGAATTCTCTGGATGGAGAATACACTTAAAGAAAAAGAGCATTGATCCATAGAATGTTGCAAAATCTAGATATTTTGGATTTAAATGAAGCAAACTCAGAGTATCACACACAGACTCGAATAAAATTAGAAAAAATAATCCTACGTTTCATTAATTATTTTCTAAAATGGATTCTGTAAATTAAAATTTATTTATGTTAATCGATTTTGGAATTTTGGGCATTCGCAACAACTATATAATCATGGCGTATGATCAACAAAATAATGATAGAATAATTACCCTTGAGATCATTGTTACTCTGTGATTCATCATGTGTTCGATGATATCTCTCCATTGGCTACACACTTGGCTGCATATATCTAAGTTTCTATCGTCTAAGTATTGAAATACATAAAACATTATTATTTCTGGTAATTCTGTGATTAAGATAGAGCTGCTTTGCGTTACTGGAACTATTTCTGTTATTTTTTCAACTGTCGTTTTTGCACTTTTGGCCATTCTCTGTAAAAAAGAATAATAATAATTTATTAATAACACTTATTATTATTTATCTTAACTTTAGTGAGTCCTGTCAACTTTATAGTGGTCTGAATGAAAGATTCACAAACCGCTTTTAAGTGTAGACGTCCTTTCTATGGTGATACAAATTAGTATTCAATTAAAATTAAAATTAATAGCGCCAATCTTCTGAATATACAAACCTCCCTGCAAAATTTCAGAAATTTTCGACAGAAAAGCACAAGAGTTATTCAGCTTCGAAGAGAGTGAAGAAAATTGTTCCCCCCACACACTAACATCCAGAAAAATTCGAATTTTTTGCATTTCTCGATGTTTCAGGGTGCAGTAAGTTAAAAATGTAAAAATCTTCTGGGGTTCATTTTATGACTGATTACCACTCTTTCCCGGTGTTATATATAACAGCCGGGAAAGTAAAAATAATCAGATGGAGGGACTTAAAGACTTTTTTCCTGTCAATAGGTATTGGAACTATTAATAAGGGTAAAACCGCTGTATTTTTTTAGATTACAGTAGAGCGTCATTTATCCGAATCAATTGGGGACTGGGCTTGTTCGGAAAACTTATTTTTTGGATAACCAATTATGTACGAAAAAATATATTAATTTATCCCGTGTTGAAATTTTTCTCCGTTACATGTCGCTTCGCGTTGAATTTTCATCGATGTTAAGCCTAACGAAGACTATTGTATCATTAAAAATTATTTTTTTATTTTGTACAAACAAAATAAATATATTGAAAAATATAAAACAATAAAAAATTATACTTCAGAAGTTAATTTAGTATCAAAAACGTAAAATATTTGAGTAGCCCAAGACATAGCCAAAGATTGCAGCGCCACAGCACTGGCGAAAATTTAAATTTGTCGACTGGAATTATTTCGGATAAACGACGCTCTACTGTATTTTGTACAAAATTCTAAATGTACAATAAATAGATAAATACATGATTTTTGTAATAGATGTATATGTATATTACAGTAAATAGTTTCTATCTGGCGAAAGGAAAATCAATTATTACGGAAAGTTCGTTATATTGAATGTTTGTTAAAACATACCTGCTATTCCAGCGTAAAGACAAATTGTATCGATCACTGATTAGATAATCAGAAAACTTAAATTACGTATTCAATAGAAATTCGGTTATTTTACGATAATTTCATCTATAGAGGTGATGTAAAGGTGGTCTCATATTTTTCATGGAGAGACAGTGAAAGAAGCGAAATTTGACACGGTGGCTTGTTCATAAGGGCATTGATGCTATTACATTTTGGTGATGAGAGGTCGAAAGAGTGGGGAGATGGAGGAGGATCTTATATCACTGTCCTAATACTCTATACTGTATAATGGAATACGAGTTTAGTCTAAATCAGTGTTCTTTGCAGCTGACTTAGCCTCAAAGTACGCTTTTTCATTTCCTAGTATGCCAGTATGGCCAGGAACAAATATAGAAGTTATCTTATTTACATGATTTTTAATGTGGTGCTGGATATATGCGATTTTATTGCTATTGCAATTGGGATTTAATAGAGCTTTTAGGACAGACTGAGAATTGCTGTAAATGTTGATAGGCAGAGTTTTGTTTGGTAGTGAAGTGGCCCACTGAACAGCTTGGTAGTCAGCATCATCTTCAGCTTGATAGATGAAGGTATGTGGGAGGTATCTGTACCTTCTAACATATTTTTGGCAAAATATGTCAAAATATTTTTGGCAAAATATGTCAGTTTGGAGGAAGATACAGATACTTGAGCCGACAAGAAGGGAGCTTTTGGACCCATCTATGTAGATATTAATGTCTGCATGATTATCCATGGAGGAAGCAGATGACACCAAATAACCTTGTTTACAAGATGATGATCAGAGATATTAGGGTAATTGCAATGTAGCATATGAATAGCCGTAAGATAGGAGTAGAGACCGTTGTTGAGCCTTGACGTTTGTAGTTCTAATGTAGTAGTTTAGAACCTTTTTTACAATACATAGTGGCAAAGGAAGGATCTCCGCTAGTATCAGAGAGGCTTTAGTAAAAATAGTTCTGCAGCACTTCGAAATTCTGATGACAAACTGGCTTTGAAGAGAGATTAATTTACTTGCTACTAAATTTTTACCAGTCACATCACCACAACCAGAGACGGCGTAAAGTAGCATTGGTTGTATTGCCCCATTATATAGAGTTTTATAAGCTTTATTATTTAGACCCCAGGTGCACCTAGCACATTTTAGCAGCATGTAGTTTATTTTCTTGGCCTTAGCCACGATGTAATCAATATGGCAACGGAACGTGGTTTCTCTCTATTCTCTCGTTTTATTTTGTACTAACAGACCCCGCCTCGCGTTGTTGTGGCTCAAAATGTATCTATTATAAATGTATAACACTTACCCCGTGGGGGGGGGAATTTTTCGAAAAATTTCTTCATAGTGTACATTCTGTTGACGTACCCTATTAAAACGCAATCAAAAACGCAAAAAACCGCATCTAAAATAGTAGATATAGAAGCAGAGTTCTTTACGGTAAGCCTTAATCCTGTTCATCTCCCCCCAGTGGGGGGAATTTCGACACGTATATTATATAAAAACACGTGCATATTCGAATGCAGCGTTGTGTCAAAATTTCAAAGGAATCAGTAGGAACAAACGAACATTACATTTTTATCTATCAATATATAGATAGATAGATAGATGATCTGCTTTAGTTCATTTTCACAGAAAAGCAAACTTAGGGCATCGTACTCGTAGCGCCATCTGTTGGACATAAAAGCCTTAACCTAGATTATATCTTTTAATTTATATGAATGTTTAACGGAATAATATACAGCCTATGTCCACCCTGAAGTTCCATTCTAAATATTGGTGAAAGAATTTTTGAAATCGGATGAGTAGTTTTGGAGATTAGCCGCTACATCCAAACTTACAAACATTACCTCTTTATTGTATTAGTATTCGCGTTTTTCATGAACTATAGAGGGCGCCACATTTTTACAAAATGGCTACTTTATCTGGGACGCTTGTAACTAGTAATGTAAAATTAATCATATATTACTGTCCGATATAATGATATATGCTGCCTGTAGCTGTTTATCGAGAAATTTTATAGGAGAACAGTTATTGTTAGTGGGACACGTCATTATGTGGTATCGAAACAAGTGAGTGAGATCGTTCTATACATATTTGNAATAAAAAAAAAAAAACGTTGTGACCCCTTAGCCGCATCGACCCCTCAATCGACCTCCTAGCAGCATCGACCCCTCAATCAATCCCCTAGCCCAGGGGTCGGCAGTTTGTCAAGTGAGAAGAGCCAAATTGTCATGAAAATAGGATAACAAAAGTACCAGAGAGCCGCATATTAATTTAAATGTGCGAAATACGACACACGATAAAGGCGCCTCTAGTGGCCGTTTTCGGCATAACGTTACACGAATGGACGGACACGCGTTCAATGCTTCAAATGCTACCACTCTTATGCGACTCATATTGATCAACGCGAGTGTGGTCATGTGCGGACGGAGAACAAGTCGAAGTTTGTTCAGCGGCTCTATCTCATAAACTCATAAGGCTGCGGTGAAATGAGGTGAGGTGAAATTGGAGTTTGTCCGAAGAGCCGCAAACGTCTATGCAAAGAGCCGCATGCGGCTCGCGAGCCACTAATTCCGACTCCTGCCCTAGCCGCATCGACCCCCCAATGATGTTGCATCGACCCCTGGGGGTCGATATCAACTACTTTGGCGCCCCTGCCCTAGACCATCACTGACGCGCAATTAACTGATTGTCCCTGGAAGTCGGCTTCTTACAGAAACACAGCTTTCCTATCACCAAATGTCACGGCACACCACTGATAGGTTGCATATTGGTCTACTTATTAAAGTCCTGAACTTCGTCTTATCTTTTAACGTGTTTTAAATTATAAAATTTATATTATTAAGATCGATGCCATCATTCGTAAAGACGATCTACTCTCCGTAAATGCGCGTTTACACAGGTCGAATTAAATCCGACGATCATTGAGTCAAAGATAAATCTGAACAAGACAAGCTGAACGTATAAACCAGTTTTCAACGTAGTCGTTGGGCCGGCTTATTCGATATGATCAAAGTAGAAAGGTTTCTATTTTGATGTGATCAAAATAAGATGAAAAGGGCAATAAAAAGTAACAGTAAACGAATGGGGGTATAGCTCAGTGGTAGAGCATTCGACTGCTAGATCGAGAGGTCCATGGTTCAAATCCGTGTGCCCCTTCGGTTTTAATTTTTTTTTTTAATTTGTGTAAAAACTAGGGCTGTGGAGTCGGTGTCGGATGGTAAGGAAAAGTCGGAGTCGGAGTTGGAGTCGGTAGATTTTTACGCGACTCCACAGCCCTGGTAAAAACAGAATTACGTGTATATACAGTAGAGCATCGATTATCCGACCCCCGATTAACCGACCGTTCTAGTCGGCAAATTCAAATGTCCGCTAGTGATGTGGCGCTACAATATTTGGCTATGTCTTGGCTACTTTAATAGTATTTTTACGTGTTTTAGCTGGCAACATGGCTTGACCATGAAAGGGAGCCAGTATTTAAACGAGGCTTAATTTTCTAATTTTTAACNGTAATTTATGGACGGCCCCTAACACTGTATACTGTAAGATATACACACACACAATCACAATTTTGTAAAGATATTTTTACATTTCTCGGCTCGTGATGTATAAAAACGTTGAAATGAAAAATAAATAATAATAATAATAATAATAATAATAAACCCTGAAATAAAATATCTAATTAAGATCGCCATACTTTTCTTACGTTACATTCATTTACAGGAAAAATAATCTTTCATCGGACAGACTTTATTATCATTAATTCTTTTAAACTGTAGCCTTATGATTCATAAACGTATTTGATATAGAACAAACAACCAAATTTATCTGATTTATAATTATAGCAGATACTTTCTCGCCGTATGAATCAATTTTAAATAAAATTTATCTAGAAATCATTATATACAGAATATTTATAACAAAAATACTTACTACAAGTTTCAATTGTCCGACTGCAAACAATGGAGAACCAAAAGTAGAATGAGCTTACTCACGTGTTGACCGTTACCTCCTGCTGTGTACCTAATTCGAACTCGGGAAATAGACTCGTCCAGTTAAGGGATCGAAGGGTTATATTAGCTTAAAAAATTTCTTCTCGTCTTCTAATTATATTTGGTCTTTCGCATCTCAGCAGTGTTAAATATATACATAAGTTTTGAAAATACAATATTAATGATTTATTGTCATAATCGAAAACGCGTGATATATCGAACAATGTTGTCAATGTGTGGTCCGCATTCCCCAAGGTGTTGTAATGTGTTGGTCCAGTCCAAAACTCCGGGTACGTTCGTAAAGTCGAACGAGTTAAACTAAAATGGCGTTATCGTTATTCTTATTTCGTTAGACTTTTCGATCAATTCGTTTATAACTAAATGGCTGTTTCTAAAATCGAAGATATGAATGTTACTAGTGCAGCCTTATCCAAAATATTTTTCTTAGATTGCTTCGGGTGGACAGTTATTTCTGTCATTCCACCTTTTAACAGTTTAAACACTCGAGTAGATTTAGAAACATCGATATCTTCTGGCGCCCTTTCCTTAACGAAGTGAACTAACTCTTTCCTTCGTGAACTTCGTTTGTTTCGTTCGAAACGTTATTACCACAGAGCATATACACTGAGCGAAACTACTACTTTTAGAACTGTTCGTTACTAACGCGTCATAGGATTTTTACCAAGTGTTCTAGGCTCTAATACCTTTGTAGAAAGGATTATTTCAGTAATGAAAAATAAATGGACAGTTGTTACAAACAGAAGCTAACAGAGCCTATCAAAGCAGAACTACAAATTTCCCTTTCAATTGTAAGCAATTTTGCCTTTGAAAAATAAATATAACGTTTATCTTTGTTACTTTTTGCCTGGGCAATGTCGCACAAGTCTGCTAGTTTACTAATAAAAACAAATAATTAAGAATTCAAATAGAAGTTACAAATTTTTTTATAAATATAAATATTACTCAAAGATTTTGTACATTTTAAACACATTTGTAAACGGTTACTTAATGATAGATATAAAATCATTTGTTTTTAAATAAAAACAAATGATTTTAGTTTATTCTTAATCTATATATATAAAAATGAATGTATGTGTGTGTGTTTGTCTGTCCTTCATGCATTACCACACCGTTTATCCGATTGCCATGAAACTTTGGAAAGTTTCTTAGTACACTCCCGCCAAGTACATTTGTCCTACGATAGATGGCGCGCGTTTCACGAGCATTCGTTCANCAGGGGCGTGCCGTGACATTTGATGATAGGGAAGCTGTGTTTCTATAAGAAGCCGACATCCAGGGGCAATCAGTTAATTCTTTCTTTAAATGTATTTTTAATAGATTATTTATCTGACACACTTAATAAACAAGTTCATTATAATTACCTCTGTTATTGGATCCAATATATTCCATATGCCCTCTAAATGCCAATTCTTGCTTCGATAAAAACATATAACATCTATTTTTTTTTTAATTCTTGAAGTTAGACTATTTACAAAAATATATATTTTCGAGTCTATCATTATGTAAATAGTCTAACTTCAAGAATTAAAATATTGAAGAATGCCCTGAGTCAACATTGAACATATAACATCTATTTATTTAGATATAATTAGCTGTAAGGATCCTCTTCGCTGGGTTTTTATTTGTTCATACATTTGTATGTAATATAGTTTTTATATATATATAAAAGACTGTTTTTCTAAGTAATCTAGAATCTAGCTGCAAGGACCCGCTTCGCTGGTCAAAAAGTAATGATAATGAAGATTAAGATAATTACATTATAGCAAATCTTACCCGTTTTCACAGAATGCAAGAATTAGGTCCCCCGTTTTCACAGAATGCAAGAATTAGGTCCCCCGTTTTCACAGAATGCAAGAATTAGGTCCCCCGTTTCCAGACTAATTACAGACCTGGTCCCGATTCTATTTCTGAAGTCTCCTGTTTACGTCAAGTCAAACGAACTATTTTCAACGTTTCTGGAATGTTTACAATCGTTCTATAATCGAACCAATATTCGAATTTTATGTTTGAATTAAATTCGAACAAATTCGAACAAAACATTCGAAATAGAAAGCCACTTTCAACCACTTTCAGACCCATATCTCCCGCACCCTTATAGCTATNTGATTAATAATAATAATAATATAATAATGATAAGTTTCAATAAAAATGATAAAATTTAAATTGAATTTTATCATAACGAGTTTGCTTGAATTTCGTTTCTTTTGAGATCGCAGCAATGCGCGACAGGTAAGCTAGTTTACGTATAATTTTATAATGTACAGTATTTTGATTTTTATACTTTTTGATTTGTAGATTTATTTCAAGATTCAACGATAACCTGTAGAGTTTATCACTCTGACAGCGAGTTTCGTCGTACACTCAGGAAGTTTACTCTAACATAGCTGGTTTAACGGTGTTGGCTTAGTTATTTTTAGAAATATAACGTCACGTCATCACGTACGTCACTGCAAAGTAAATACGATTACAGTAGAATAATACTTTCCGTCAGAACATAAAACCGATATAATCAAAATTTCATTTAGATTGGATAAATATTATAAGAGTTATAAAGAATTCACACACACACACACACACACACAGGCTACCGCTTTTATATATTGCTAATTGCTACCAATATAATTTTAATTCAGAATTTTCTTAATTTTTAGTTTATGTGTAATCAATTCAAAGTTTGCTAAATTTCGTGTCTTTGAAATGTACTAATGCTAAATATTTACACGGATTTTTAATGATATTTTTGTATGGATAAGCAAAAACATTTACAGTAGAGCAGGGGTGGCCAAAACGTGGCGCATTGGACGATTACAAGTGGCACTTCAGTTAGTTCTGAGCAAAATTGCCAGATTTGGCTTTTTTGTGATTAAGAATATTATATAAAAAAATAAAATTTTTATAGTCTGTCATGGTAAGTTCATTTGTTGCACAATTTGTTACAGTCTATTTTGCAGATAAAATGAGTGTTCTTCACATAGTAAATTACAGTAAATGCACGTATTTTGAGTCTTGCGATCTTTATTTCCGATTAGTTTATAGGCGTGTAAATGGCCGAAAACATTTATTGTGATTAAAGTTATTCCAAGCTGATCTTGTTCTCAGTGCCAATAATTGTGGTGCAGAGTAATCTTCACCAAACGAGACTCTGGCAGCAATAGCACCACCATAAAACAATAGCCCTCTCGTACAGGAGATTATTGTTGNTGTTTTCTACAGTGGCGGAGCAAGACCTATATTTGATATGGGCAAGGTACATTTCGCGAGGCCCTCTGATGGCGCAAGAAGACGGATTTTATAAAATAAAAAGCAGTTGAAAGTGTCAAATTTTTATTCATAAAAATTCAAACTAGATTCTTTGGCTAACATTAAAGAAAAATTAAAAAAAAAAGAATTAAAAAAACAGAAATTTCCTGCTTTTAGCCTTACTGAACTCCTTAATAATTGTATCGTTATTCAGCTTAGATGTTATATATGCTTGAATAGATAAAACTGCCAAAGCTGAAAGTCTTTCCAGGCCCATTGTATTTCTTAAATAATTCTTTATTAGCTTTAATTTTGAAAAGCTCCTTTCAGCGTAGGCAGTACTTACCGGTATTGTTAACAAAATTCGAATGACAATGGAAATATTTGGGTAAATTTCTTTCAAGTTATTTTCTGTTATGTATTGAAGCAGCTGTTTCACATTTTTAATGAAGTTGGGTAAATTTGGGATCATTGTAATTCTTTATATAATTCGTAAGGTTGGAAGTCACTGCTCTCACCCACTCGCAGGACTGAGTGTAAATCTTGACAGTTTTTTAATAATTGCTCTTTTGGAATATTTTTTAACTTGCTTAGAGCATATAGAAAACCGAAATTTTCAAAATGTTGATTTAAAGACATAAATCTCGAATCCATATTTCTTATTATAGAATCAATCATAGTGTTAAAAAAATCTGTTTCATACCGGCTTTTGGGAGACTGTATAGGTTGATCGCTGCCTTCGTAATCGAGCATCCTTTTCCTTTTGGCTACCCTATCGTTTTTAAAGTCTTTTGGCAGTTCATAACTGTTATTCTCAATAAATTGACGGGCGTCAAACAAGCATTTTTCGAATCCAGTTTGTCGATATTCTTTGATCCAGTTACAAAATGTATGCAAATGTTCAAGAGCAATGCTTAAATGGACTTGTACAAATTGCCATAACTTGCTTATGATATTAACACGCGATAATATCTCATACCATACATGTAATGATATGATAAATTCTAAACTGAGCATTTCGTTGAAAACCGAATCACAATCACTGAGTGTGTCTGATTGTTCCGTTTGGTTTTTTAAGCTTTCGATGCATTCAACAACATTATCAAATTGCAATAATACGGCCTTCACTTCGATTTCGCTTTCCCACCTTGTGTCAGGCTTTATAGTAAGCTTTAATTTTACTTTGATTAATTCCCAGCGTTTGCTGGAACTTAAAAATAGCAAATCAATTTTCTAAATAAAACCAAAAATTGTTTTTGCTGCCACAGAAGAATTAGCTGTGTCTACCAACAGCATATTCCAGTTATGACAACCGCAAGGGTGTTAATACAGGTATATCTACCTGGGATTAATACAGGTATACCTCGCCTTACGTCGGTAATTGGTTCCAGGAAAACGACGTAAGTCGAATTTAGTTGTCTCCGAATCTACTTATCACTAGGCTAAACCGTAAATTACCATTCCCGGTTCTGTATTTTATTTATTAATGCATTTTTAATAATATATGGTTAATAAAAATCTATTTTAAGCTTACAAACAAATAAATTTTAGTTTTTAATATAGTACAGAAAAAAAGTAATTTAAATTTACAAATGCATGTACTGTAAATACAGTACATACTTGTAAATGTATATATTTGAATATGATCTTATGTGCTTTAAACGTGATATTACGATGATTTAAAGTGATATTACGACTTCAATATTTGTGGCGGACAGACGTAAAGTCGAATAAAATGACTTGATTTATATGGCGGCTCCATAAGAAACAATAGTGTTCATAGATAGACTTTGTTTCAATGCTTTTCAGCTCGGAATTTATTTTTAACAGTATTTGTATTTTCCGAGGATTAATTGAGGAAATACAGAAATTGTGCAATTGGGTAATCAAGAGTTAAAAACAAATATAAAAAAATAAGATGAAATTTAGTATCTTATATAATCAAGTATTCTGGGATAACACGGAATATTTAGTTCACAGTTATTGACGAAATATAAGAATATTGTTATAAAATTGTAGCTATACATTTTCTTTGTGAAATTAATTTGATTGACCACAACTACACAAACTCGATCTATCAATGATTTAGCAGGACATCGATTCATCGACTATCGATGAGTGTATAGCAGTAGTGAGCAGAATTTATTTGATTGAAAGATAATACCAGAAAGTAAAAATCAAGATTATTAGTGATTTTAAAACAAAAAAAATAATATTTTAAAATAATATATTCCAAATTATTTTTCTATGATTAAATCATTTTGTCGATAGAGGGATGATGGAGTGAAATGTCAAGAAGTAATGAAAATACCAGTCAAAAATTATATTTAATTTAGATTTATAATAATTAAAAACTGAAAATATGAGTTGGTAAGTGTCTAAAACACACACATATATATATACACAATTATATTTATAATTTTCCAAAAACAAAATTTTAATACTCTGAACTTTTTAAACTTTTCCTGTACTTAGTTCAGAGTATTAAAGTTCATTGTCTCATTAGTTGAATTCTTACGACTGAATTTTAAAATGAGTTTATACAAGCCACAAACTTTACTAACATATGATGTCATTAAATGATACTTTTAATTGATAAATAATAATTCAACAAGTAAGTTTCTATGGTATTCTAAATTAGAAATTGCATGAATTGCATTTTATTTAATATGTTGTACAGGAAAACGTTGGAATTCTGCTGTACATTTTATATTAAAATATTACTGTATAAAAATAGAATAACAATGGAAATAAACAAATGTAGTAGTAAATCTTTTGTAATGAACTATTGAAGATAAGTTCATAAAAATACATTGAAATTTTATAATAAAAATGATTAAACTACACAAACTGTACAACAGATGTAATATCACTGGCAAATGAGACATGAAAACTTGGAAAGAACTTGCTTTCTATTTCCAATTTTTATTAGTGTGACTTAAAAACTCAAATGTCAGCAGTTACTCATTCATAGCTTAAATTTTTTAAGCTATGAATGAAAATTAAGCTGAAAATTTAAGCTAATTTAATTTAAGCTGAAAATTAATTTACTTTCTGTTTTTTTGACATAAACTAAAACAAACACAGTTAAAGAATCAAATGTAAAATTAAAACTGAACGAAACCTGAAACAGAAAAGTATATTCTGATTTCTTTTTGCTGTATATTTCAAGCAGTTGTGCAGTTACCTCTTATATGATCAAGAAGTCTTTATATAAGTACAGTGGGTGATCGGATAACGAACAAATCGGATAACAAACACTTTTGCGAAAGATTTTTATGTTTGGACAACGAACACATGATCGGATAACAAACACCCCACTGAACAAACACAAGAAGAAGCAACATAAAATAATGAATACTGATTGGTCTTCCCTTATCTTCGGGTAACAATTCAAAACTTTTCGGAATGTGGGAGATGTCGACATCGACGCTCAAGCCGGTATATACTGATCGGATAGTATTCCTCCGAACTTTGAAACTCTCCCTTGTAAATTCCAGCCTTTTATTTTTCTGACAAAACAATTCTTTTATGTATTCACAAGACTGTCAGGTAGGCGCTCGTTAAGTTTTGCGTCTGCTTTTCTTTTCGAAAGGTGAGAGTATAATAGCAAAGGTAGAGAGTAGGTAGAAGATGCCTAATGTTGCTGGGCAGTATGGCATGAACAGGTCTAAAGTAGGCTGCAGTTCAATCTTATTTAAAATACTGTATAATCAAGAAGACTCAAGCAGCTAAAGGAGTACAGTAGAACCTCGAAAACTCGTCCCTCGATAACTTAGCACTCCGGATAACTGGTCCACACCTTGGCAGGGCGAAAAAATCCTTAGTTAATTAATTTTCATTATAGACAGCTTTATAAAAGTATAAAAGCTCTCATAAAGTATTTTTCTGAGGTCTGTCTTATCAGGTAAATTACTGTACACAGTGTATTCATTAATTTTCATTTTCATGTAGTGGCTCTATGCCTTCATAAAGGACGTACTTTTCCTTTGTTTAAGGGTATTTGGGCAGTTTATTCTCTGTTATATTCTGTACAAGTAAATACTGTACAAGTACAGTACAGTATTTTCTGAGGAAATACTCGTACTTATTTTTTTTAACCCCATTCCCGATAACTCGGCATTTTCACAAACTCGGCCACCCTTCGGTCCACATTAGGTCGAGTTTTCGAGGTTCTACTGTAACAAAAATCACATCTGAGAAATAAAGAATATCAAAGAGTTCATAATGGAACCTGAAACGGATCTGACGACAGAAGAACGCCAAGAACTCTTGAATGAAGAACACCAAGAAACTCGGTGAGATATGTTTTCTTCTGAAAAAAGATTAATGCCGATATCTGTTATTAAAGACCCTTTGAAGAAGTGGGAGGATGTCAGAACAACGGTGTTAGAATGGTATACAAACCAAGTTGTGGCTTGGGGATTTCTACAATTGCAATGCTATTAATTACTTATCAAAAATCCTGAAGAAGAGAGAAAAGGAATCAACATTAGACAGATTCTTTAACCCTTTCAAATGGAAAAAACATGACTAATAAAAATGCAAGACTATGTATGTATGTATTTTTATTATTACATATAAATAAATATTATTATATATAAGTAAGAAAGTATATATTTTTTTATTTTTGGGGATCTCCGAACGAATTAATCAAATTCCCATTAAAACCTATGGAAAATCGATAATCGGTTAACAAACAATTCGGATAGCTTACAAAGTCCTGGAACGGATTATGTTCATTAACCGATCACCCACTGTATTATAAAACCTTCGACACTTTTTCTAGCAATTTCTTTAATTGAACTAACGCTTTTGGCTATATTTATTAATTTAAGGAATATAGGAAGTCTTTATATTTGTAATTTATAAAATATTAACCCATTATATAAAATGATAATTTAAAATTTTTTTAGGAACCCTCTTAGGATTCTCAGTAGTAAACATGGTTCAAGGTCTCCTTTTCCCTTAGTGGTATGTTGAAATATTTTAATTTTTATACTTGCTTAATATTCCAATTTGATAAATCAGATCATAAATATTTTCTGAATTGTGCACAAAATTTCGTACAATAATGATTCATGTATAAATAATAGAGAATAAATATGAATTTAAAAAATTATCTGTATATGTATTTATATATCAAAATTTGTTTACATAGTATTATAATGTTTATAAATTAAAAAAAATTTATATTTCTTTGGATTTTACTAGTGATTGACCAATATAGAAATGATTTTACAAATATTTTTTGATCTGATTTGATGCATATTCAATAACAACTATTATTTAAGATATATTAGCCATTCCTGTAATATTAGAAATATTGGATATTAGTTTAAGAATGACCTGATAATCAGATATCTGATTATTGGTTGCATAATATCAGGCAACTCTAAAACTGATCTGAAGCATGCAAGAAAAGGCAATAATGGATTACAAAGAATTTAAAAGGTTATTAATTCAACACTTTGATGAGGAATTTTACAGTTTAAGGTACATAAATTCTATAAATGTATGCACATCCTCATTGTGCTGTTGTAATTTTTTGCAGTTATGTTGCAAGCTTTAGTATCGGAGACTACAGTTGAACAGATCAGTGTGAATGCTGCAGAATGAGCAATTATAAAATGATGTCAGAAAAAAGAGTTAGATGTGAGATATTAAAAGAGTACAAATTTGCAAAGTATAAATGATGGAATAAAGCAATGGGTACTAACATTAATAAAACTAGTAAAAACTAGTAAATTTTTCTGTGGAAATTTTTAAACATCATCTTGTAAGTATAACAAACATTTGTAGACGGTATGGCACCTAACATCTACCTCTAGTAGCAAATTACTTAGTATTAACTATTAAAATTAATGGAGTTATAGCCTTATTATTTAGGCGATTGTTTGGTGATGTTTCTACATCATCTTGTAAATTTTAAATTGCAATGGGTACTATTCCATGGCTCCAATATTTGAAACATCTATACAAGGAAAATCGAGCAGTTGACTTGGAAATCTCACACATTAGAAGCTAAAATGATGGATAATCTAAGGAAATTTAGAATCACTATCAATTACATTGAATCAGTTTAATGAAAGTCACAGCACTTAATCAAAGATTGGAAAAACCTGAATGGAGGCTCTTGCAGTCATGCCTGCAAAATTACTGAATGGTATTGTTGAGCCTAGTCCTCTCAACTGAGAGTATGTTTTAATAATTTGCAACCAACAAATTGGTATGATACTCTGAAGACTTAGTAGAAGCCTCAGAACTTTTCTAATCATTCTTACTGCCTAAAACAGACTGTTTAAGGATATATTGCATGCATCTCAAACCTTAGTTTTTTATTAGGCATTTAATCTTGTAAATTGCAATAAATTGTACAACCTTGTACATTATAGCAGAGCAGTTTTAGAAAAAACTGTATATATTTTAGTTCTAATTATTATATAAAGTATTTTCAAAAGTAGGGTCTACTTTATTTGTTGCCATATGATTGATACATTGTAAATAAGTTGCTGCATTGATTTATTTTATGACTATTGAAATTATTATAATTTGTATTTTCAGTTAGAGTATAAACTTGTTATAATTTTTTAACATAGCTATATTTCAAATTAATAAATAATTTTCTGTAGGATGAAGGTGACTTTGATCGTCAAATGAAAAATTTTGAACAGTAAGTTTAAAAGAAATGTTTGAAATAAATAAGATATATTCATTGTTATAAATATGTAAATGTAGGATGATATTTAAATATTTAAATGAGTACTAAAATAAAATAATATAAAAAATATAACCCAATTACTCTGTTTGGTGACAGAAATAATAATTATATTCTTAGAGTTTTAAATTGATTCTAAGAAAAAGAATAAAACAATAAATTGAAATAGTCATCTATTACAATAAAAATTCTAAGTTAAATTTTGATTTTATTACTAAAAATTTAAATTGTAATAGTTATAATTTTTTTAATCATAAAATTTGTTATAATAAATGATACAAATTTTATGATTAAAAAAATTTGATGATCCAATAATGTAAGTGTTTCATTCTAGATATTTAGATAAAAAATTCACAAAAACTTGCAGCTTTATAACTCCAGCAAAAAATTATAGTTAAATAAAAAAGAAAGATTTCAAGATATTTTAATATAGATATACAGGATGTTTCATGTACAGTGTTAGAAGTCAATAACTTGGAAAATATGCTTCTAATTTTAAAAATTGATAAGAATGAAAGTTTAATATCTTTGAAGGTAAAATAAAGTCTCTCTCATTCCCTGTTGGGGTAGAGTGGAATGTGGGAACTTCCCTATTCAAAACTTTGAATAGGAATTCCCAATGATTTTATATTTTTGGAATCTCTATTAAAAAATAATCACCTTTTATTGAGAATGTTTTTTAAGAAAATGGTAATTTCAAAACATGATCATATGTAGTGGGATGTTTTGAAAGGTGAATGGCCAAGCGGTTAAGGTTGCAATCCACTGTTCTAGGGAACTCAAGATTGAGTCCAGATAGGTCAAAAATGCCAGAAGTTTTTGGAGAGTGGGCTGTCCAGATATGTCAAGTCTCATCCCATCCATCTGTCCACTGCCCCATTATGGGTCTGGCTGAATCTATAATAGGCTTGCTAAAAAAAGGGTAGGAAGAGTTTAAAAAAAAGCTAATAAAAATGTTTTTTAATGAGCTAATCAGTTTCTGTTCTTTTATTTTTTCAGTTGTTTAACAAATGTTTAAAGAGAGATCCATTTTCATGTAAGCATTTCAGTAATCGAGCAACAAAGCTAAGTACATGAATCAAAACCTGTCAATTTAGTAAATAATTTAATGTAAATTCAACCAATGGTTTCAATCTTACACAAGATCTACTTTGGGTCAACAACAATCTAAATTGGAATGCATAAAATCAGTTTCAAAATTTTTAAAAATATTGGAATAAAATATAAGGATATAAATTATAAAATTGAATAAAGATTTGGTAGCCTATTAGGATATATAAAATTAAAACCAATACAAATATAAGAAATGATTATGTATAAATATGTCATAAAAATAATATTAACTAATTTATGTTGGTATTGCCAGGTTTTTCATAAAAACATTGCCTAGCATATGAGATGCTTTCTTCATCTTTGAATTTAATGCAACTGCCTGTCAGGTCAGCTTTATAGATTTCTAAAGTTTCTAGAACCCTGATATGGTCAGTTAGCCAGGATTGTTTGATTAATGTGGCATTATGAAGATCAGCTTGCATGTTGGTCTTTGTGGTGTGAACAGACAGGATGGTGGTGTTTTTTTATTCATTATAACAATGTTCTTGTAACCTTTTGCATATGAAATGCTTAGTGGATCCAATGTACACCAGATCTTTTTGAACCTGTTGTCCATCACCAGAACATTGCACACTCCTTGAGCCCTATGTTTGTCAGCCTTATCTTTTCTGTTATATAATTTGGGAACTTGCTTATAGGTAACCTGTACCACATTGTCACTATTTCCTTGTACAGTGTATGCAAATTTGGTCATACTTCACCACAGTGTGCTTGGGGTTAGGGATATATGATTGACTGCTGTTGGAGCCTTGTTGCATAGGGAGTGTTGATTGGAGTATTTGTGAACCAAACTATGAATCAGGTTTCTACTATACCCATGCCTATATAGCAATGTCCTGTAAAATTAAAATTAAATTATTTACTGGATTGTCAAGATTTTGATTGATGTACTTAGTTATGGTAATCAAAATGTCTATTTAACATGAAGAAGTTAATTTCTAGTAACAAAGTTTCACTGAACAGACCAACATATCTACTGTTTATTTTAGCACTTGAATTGCTTCTTATTTTGAATTATAGTTAGCTGTTGAAACAAAACTTGATCCTTTAGAACACCCTATAGAAAATTGCAATTGGTGTCAGGTCTGGTGACCTAAATTGGATCTCCATATCCAATTTATCGTTCTCCAGATATGTAGTCATGCCCATCACTATTACTTTGAGAGTAAATTTGATATTAAAATATGAAATTCAAAACAAACATGATATTTTATTTAATGTGAAACAAATCAAAATAATGCAGAGAAAATCTTTGTTTTGATTTCTAAGTGAAAACATGAACAGAATTTTAATTCACTTTAATTTTGACAAAATGTTACAAATTTTCACATTTAGATGTCAGTTCTGATATATTATTTTTTTTATTTAAATTTTCTATTAAAATGTATTGAAAAATATTGTGTTTAAAACTGAAGATATTAATAAATGTATATGATTTTTTTTTCATATGAATATAATAATAATTTGATTTTTGATGAATTTTTAAAATAATATCGCCTGACTGACCTTATTGCCCTTGTCCTTTACAAATCGAAACAAGAGGCGTGGTAATAGGTCAACAAAGGGTTAAAGATTAATTAAAAAATTTGTACAATACTGCTTTTGTACTACACTAAAAATTGATCAAAAAATTAAACAATATTCTGAAATCTGTTTCAATTAATTGGCTTGTAAAAAGTTCATTTTTATTAGCTTATCTTTCAAAATTTGCAACTACATCTACTCATAATTTTTCAAATTATCATTTTCTTGTAAAAACATTCTCAATAAAAGTTTATGTTTTAATAGNATGCGGAAGAGAGTACTGTATCATATTGAGAATATATAGAAAAAAAATGCATTAATTATCGCAAATATATATATGATATTTAGTTATTTACTAAATAATATTTTAATTTATTCATTAGATTTATTGATTTAATTCATATCGGTACAACTGTTTTAAGCGTGAATTATGCTTTATTATTTTTATGATCGATTATTGATAGAAAGTAACATTTCACATTAGTTTCAATCAGACTTATTATTTATTCATTTAAATTATGCAAGATATTTCAGACGTTAGGCCTATATTGCATAATTTAAATCTATTAAATGTTAAAAAATTATTTAAAATTTTTTTCCTGTATATATCTAATAAAATAACATATTACAAAATTATTATTATTACAATTCTTTATAAATTATAAAATATGCAAAATTTGTACAGCATAAATGATATTAATGGTTACAAAGTTAAGTGTTCAATATTGTACTGTACATTAAATAACAATAAATAAAGACATTATTGATTTATAAGCACATTCTTCAAAGAGAAAAATATATAAATATGTAAAATATAATGGAAAGTAGATATAAATACGCTTTATTTATTTTAAAAAAACATTTATTAATTTGTGTAATATATAATTCTTTCATTCAATACATTTAAATGTATCGTTTTCTATGCTGTATTTCATCTAAGTATATATTTGTTTGTTTTATATAATTTTATATATAATGAAATAGGTATGATTATATACTTTTTAATTTTATTAATTTTCTGGTATTATATTGTTCTTAAATATTAATAAACGTTATTAAAAATATACCAAGTACAGCTCGACCATTGTTCACCTTGAAGAGTCAACCATGCGAATATAGAATTCATGTACCGAATACATTAATAAATTAAAAAAAAGTATAGCGAAAAAAATAGGCATTACACAGAGAAAATGATTGCATTCTATTTTATTTAATTTTGTGTTGTGTCATAAAAAATAAATACAAATATTTTCCAGCAAAAAATCTGTACATAATCATCGAACGTTTATACTCAGTTCTGGATCACAAAATATTCAACAATTATCCAAAAAACCGAGCTTTCACACATTAAACAAGCAACATTTTCTCCTTTACATTCTAATATTTATGCTTCTAGAATATTAAATAGGACATATATATGTCTATCCGTATACAATTGATGTGTTTGAAGTGTTTATATCTACAAATATAATTTTTACATATTTTAATTTTATATAAAATACGCTTAAAAACGACAACAAAAATATTGATATTTATTTTAAAAAATTGAATATATAAAATAAAAAAACAATTCAATTTTAAAATTGACATTTTGAATAAAATTTTATAGTTTAAAATCTGTGATAATTTGCAAAATTCTCACCAAAGTCATCGATTTAATGAGAATAATTTGAGTGTGAAAGTGTGGAAATTCACATACTACACTGCATTAAAACTTTTTTTTAACGTTTTAAACATATCAACGTGCTTATATTGTTTGTCCATGTTAAGTGCATTTATAAAACACGGATTTACTACGTTTAAACTTAAAAATAAATAGATTTTAACTTATAGAAATACTAAAAATATGTAGGAAAATTGGCCTTAATATTGCCGTATTCTTGGATACTCATAATACATATTTTATATATTTTAGAATAGAAATAATATATATTATGACTTAAATATGCATTACTACGTTTACGATCTACAGTAGAAAGTGATTAAATTTAATTATCATTAACTAATTGAGTTACATTTTAAACTTCATTAAATTTTCTCAATTTAGTTAACTAATTTCATTGGTCAGTATCACGTTCTTCTGCGATGTTCTTTTGAAATGGACGGAATTAATACATTTAATCTTCTTCATCACATTAAAAACGACTAATATTTAACTAAATTAAGAAGGAAAAAAAATGTAATATTTTAATAAATTTGGAACGAGTTTTGCACTATTTTCAGCTAAGTAACAGCAGAAATTTTGTGCTATTTTATTGATATTTATTAGCAAAGCGTGCAAACTGTTGTAAAATAATTGCAGTTGACTGCTGCAGTTACCTTAATTACAATCTGCTGTGATAAGTAGACGTAGTGAGTAATTCTTAAAGAAATTAGACGGATACTCCAGCTCAATAATGGAATTATAATTGAAATTTGTGAATTATAATTGCATTTGTATACACATAAACTCAGTTAAAGAGAGAAAAGTTCGTGCTTTAAAGGAAATATTGTGAAGATAGTTGAAAAGTTTAGTGAAAAATCCTTAAAAATGCAATTATCAAAGCTAAGGCCGCATTGTGAATACCTTCTGACTGTATTTAAGGCACTATACTTTTCTATCGTTAGAATACATGCATAAGAAAAAAATAAATAAGATTTTATATAAAAATAATATAAATCTCAGAAAAATATAAATAAATTTTTTAATTATTAAAAAAAATTTAATCAATTAAAATAAAATATATCAATTTTAAATGGAAATTTCGTGTTGTCACTACAAATTTTTCGCTTATCAATCATTACAGATTATTTATATATTAATAAAAAATTATATAGATTTTATTACTTTAATATTTGATTTATATATTACTACATTATTTCATTATAATTGGTAAAATTTAAAAATATACAGTAAATACTCGACTATTATTATGTTTGGTTTTTTTTTTGGTATGAGAAATTTGAATCTTAAAAAAATAAATTAAGAAGGTGCATAAAAGTTCATATAAAATTTTATCAAATTCAATAATTTTCGCTTTTTTCAATCGGTTTAATTATATCTTACTTAATTATAAATTCAACAGTTTACTTTGACATCATTTTTCAACGTTGACTTTAGCAGTGAAATGGTATGCTTAATCATTATATAACTTAATATATTCAGAAAATTTAGAACAAAATTCGATTTAAGATGAATGAAAAAAAAAAAAAACAGGAAACGTTTGGAATTGAATTTTAACTCTAACTGTTCCAATTGTTTTTAACTTTGTTCCAAATTTTCCAAATGTGTTAACAAATTTAGAAAAACTTACTATTACATTTTAAAATTAGAAGAACTCAAAAGTTTTGCTTAAATAATTAAGATCGCGTGCAAAAATAGCATACAAAAATTAAGATAATTTAAGTTTACGACCTTTAAACTTCTTAAATTTTTTTCTTTTAGATCGTAACCACTCTTCACGGATTTCTGAAGGCGTTACGAATTGGACGTTCAACATCAAGCGATAGCACTTTACCTTTTGAGTAATTTTGGCCCTTTTTGTAACTGGACGGAATGAAAGGACATTTCTGCTGATGTAAATACATTTCTTTAATTTTTTATTAATTTGAACACGTTTATCTTTCTTATTTTTAACAATGCTAACTTCATCGGATATGGAAATTTCGGGTGATGTTTGGACGGCTATTTCTCTCACGTTCATTGTTTTTGTAGTTTCTAGGGCAGTACAATCGATCTCTTCTTCAGTTGCATCTTCAAATTTTTCACTTTTATAATCGTTTAAATTGCTTTCACTTTCTTTACGTGATAAGTTATTTACACTTTGGGGAAATGATGTTTCTTTCACCCACACTTTCTTCTTCATATCAGTACTAATTCCAAGTAAATTGAGTTGAATCCCCGCAGATTTAACGAGCAATAGAGGAGTTATGAAATGATCTGGTCTTTGGTATTTTTCTAATCTTTGATTTTTATTTATGTTTCTCTTCGGTAATACGTTCGAAATCTTGATTCTGATATCTCTTCTCATATAAACGATTGTTAGAGGATAGATTAAAGTGAAACTATATCTAAGCCAAGTAAATAAACTTTCTAAATTTAAATAATTCGTGATTATCTCATGAAATCCAAACTGATAAAGCTGATAAAAAATGATGTAAGGTAGTTGCGTGACGGTGTAAAGAGAGAAGATAACGAAAAATAACTTAGTATTCGACCATTCGTTCCATATATTTGATTCCTCAAAAAATAATTCTGTGTAAGTTAAATCTAATCGTCTGAAATTTCTATTTCTAATGTCTTTATAACGTCTGTTAAGCATTAACAATAAACAAATTGCACATAATATAAGCGAAAATGTATAACATGCTGTTGTCACATAACTATATAAAATTCTGTTAGATTTTAATGGACCACAGGAAAATCGTTCAGGAATTTGGTCATATTTAACAGTACCAGACAGGATTGGCACACTAAACACCACACCGATGAACCATATTGTTACTATGACAACCGTTTGTTTTCTAATGGTGTGCCTTTTGACATATTCAGGATTCCAGGAAGCAAAACATCTTTGCACACACATAATAACTATACAAAAGGTCAGTTGCAGAGAAATTACTTGAATTGCAAACGTGTTAATTGCACAGTAATGTAGAACGGAGCTAGAACTACTCAGATAATAGACTGAAAATGTCATATTTATGGCACATTCACCGACGCATGCCGAAGAGATGTTAAGTAAAAGTAAATTAAATGTCACTCGTCTTAAACTATAACTCCTACTAATTGTAAAAATTAACCACGTGTTAAATAAAATAGAAGTGATCAGAAGAAATATCAGAAAGTTAATTTGTAAGATTTGTGAACGTTCATACCGATTTGTTGATGCTCGAGTCCAGTTGGTATCGTTGAGTTCCTCATAAGTTAAGTTATCAGGCATTTCTCCATTTGAGATTCCTTTCGAGAAAATCCGGTTCAGTTTGAAGCCTGAACAGACTTTCTGCCATTCTGTTACGGTGTCACGTGTGCCAATAAGTAACATGGTAGCGCCCTCCTTGTTAATCAATAACGCTGACATTTTTGATGTTCAATCGATACGAATGTCTCGTTGATGCAGCATTAAAAATTGGATTTTTAAAAACTGATTTACACACTTTAATAGAAAATTTTAGCCACGTTCAAAAAAGAAGACATCCATTAAAATTTATTATCTAAAGCATATTAACTTCTAAAACTATGGTTTATGATGGAATTTAAATGCAGCATAAAAGTTAAGTACTTTAATTTAATGTAGAAAAAGTCACCCATTTATCATTTAATTCATTAAAATATGCATTTAATTCACATAAAACGAATTTAATCAACTATTTTTATTGATGTACTGTACAATATTGGGTCAACACAAACATGCTTTATTGCTTAGTAACCTAAACAATAAAATCATTAAAAAATAAAATATGAAAATATTATATACATTTTCAATTTCAATTTAAAATATAAAATAATTGAAAGAATAAATTTGGTTGATTTAATTTTTATTTTAAACGAATCGACTCTTTAATAAAAGAACTTATAAAATTAAAAAAATCAGAAAATTTTTCATTGTAATGGAGAATTAACTTACTTGAATAAAATGATTAATTTAAAATTCTAAAATCTAAAAAAATCTTGTGTGGAACATTATATTTCAAATTCAATATTTCGAATTTTTTGAATTTGGAATGAATTCAAATATTCGTTCGAATTCATTTATTTTGTTTATATTGTTGTTGAGTTACCTGAAAAGTGGAAATGATTAAAATATTTATTAAAGATCCACTACTCAAAAACCTTATAAACTGCAGCCCTATTTATTAGCAAATTCAAACGTTTTTATTATCAAATTCAAACTTCAATACAAATTCAAACTATTTATTAGCAAATTCAAATGTTTTCGGTCATTAAAGATGACCAAAAACGTTTGAATTTGCTAATAAATAGGGCTGAATCCCTTGGGGTGGAATTTCCAAAAATCCCTTCTTAATGTCCATTCTCATGGCATACCCTACTAAAACGCAAAAAACTGAATCTAAAATAGAACAATAGAAGCCGAGTTCTTTAGGATAAGCCTTAATCCTCTCCCTCTCCCCCATGGGAGGAATTTTGAAAAATCCCTTCTTAGTGTACATTCTTGTGACGTACCATAACTATGTACCAAATTTTAACTTTCAACTCCTAACCGTTTGGGCTCTGCACTTATTATTATTATGTTGGGTTTAATGGGTTACTCAGTTCACACTGGTGGCTGTGTACTATGCCGGACCAGAGTCAAGGCATAGCAACAAAAAACTAAAATTAAATAAGTGTGTCAGTATCTGTATTCAGGAATTTCCTAATAATATTGCATGTATTCAATATAGTGGCCTTCTGTAGTGTAATGTATGTATTTCTCTTCAATTGTAATGTTCCCAGGCTTTTATGTAGTGTGTGTGGTATCACACCTGTACAGGAGAGAATGACAGGTACAATAAGCATCCTATCCATCCTCTACAGATGCCTTATTTCCTGGGCGAGTTCTGTGTACTTGCTAATTTTTTCAGTGCATGTGTTTTNGATAAAATCTAACAAATAAATACTAGTGTTTTAATTTATTAAAATTAAATTTCCTGGTTTCCTAAATTTATCATCTTTTTCCCTTATCATTTTGAATGTGGTACAAAGTGCAAATGTTGTTTTTACTAAATAAATTATTGTAATAGATTAAAATTGAGACACCCTAATTTGTTAAGACAAAATTTAACACTTTCTAAACATCTAATGCGGATACCTTGAAATTGTCACATGGATCATGGGTTTGCCATTGGACCTGGATCAAATCCATGCAGGCAATCTCCAGGAAATTTTTAATGAGTAGTTAGCCCTGATATGTTAGATTCCATTCTTGCTCTGGCCAAACCCATGTTGGGCATGGAAAAGACCTTCTTAGTGCTTGCAGAGTGGAAAGAGCAAAAAATAAATAAATAATTAATGACCATGCTATAAAATATAATTAGAAAATTTTTGTAGTATATTAAAACATTTATAATTTGTAATTTAACTTAATTAGTTCCATTCCTTGTTAATTATTTTTAAGTTAAATATTTTTAATGTAAATTATTTTAATGGTTTCAGCTGTTAGTCGCTGTGAAAAAAAGATGACTACAGATCTTTCTAATAGTTTAATTTGTCAAGAAAATGACACATTAAGAGCATTAGTAGAAGAATGGCATACATTTACTAATGAAATAAATCATGTAGATGATAATCTGGTAAGATAATAAGTAAAAGACTTTATTATATTAAAATTGCAAATAATAATAAATTCCACTGTTTGAAAAATTAAGAATAAACAAAAAAATTCAGCATTTTTATTTTAAATATTTTATTATAGTTTTTTAATTAAACAACTTAAAAATTGCAAAATCTATATTAAGATGGGTAAGGCATACTCCACATATGTTAATTCTGAATAAATCAGAAAAAAATGTATATTATTTAGATAAAATTATCATACTATAATAGAAATTAAAATATGCTTAATACAGTATTTCTGAGCAATCAATACTCATGTTCTGGAATGCTGCATAGTAAAACAATTGTCTGCAAAGTGTAATATAGACAAAAGCAGAAAGGAGAAATCTTTTAATTTTATTTGTCACATGTAAGAGTTTGAATTGTCCATGAGAAGTTTTTCACAGAAAACTGTTAAAATTAAAAAATTAATAACAAAATTTTAAGTTTTGTAATTTTAACATAAATTTCTGTAGATATTTCTTCTTTCAGATTTTGTTTTTGTTAGATTTTTCTAGGCAATCATACTTTTTTTTATTTACTGTTTCTGAAGATGACCATTACTTAATTAAAAATTGTTGAAATGTCTGTATTAAATATATATTAAATTGCACTAAAGCAATTTTAGTTTTAGTTTTTATTTATAAGAAAATTGTAATTTTTTTTCTATCTTATATTTCATAAATTTCTTATGAAAATTTAAAAAAAAACAAGCAAGTATAAATTATACATGATTATATACTTTAATATTTTATAGTTTTTCTTTTAGTAAATAAATAAATGTGACAATATTTATGAAAATAATAATATACAGAGAGCTACTTAATGTATTATTAATGCTAAGTATTATTATAAATAACATTAATGTAATTTTCCATTAATATACAATAGAATTAACTTAAATAATACAACACAAATTTCAGATATTAAAATATATTTTACTATTTGATTAACAAGCAATTCTGTTGGATATTGTTCAAGTTTTATGAAGAGTAAATAAAATAAAAATGATAATATAAAAAATCCAGCAACAAGTTGCATAATTTTCCTGGCTGCTATGAGATTTTATTATAAAAAAAACTTTGTATATTATTGATTATTATAAAATGGCAAAAAGTGTAATTTTTATATTAGGGGTAGAATTTGGTGGTGGTTTCTGGTGGATACTGCCTATCTCTCTATGTGATTTTGGTTGTGGCCCACAGGTAGGTAGATTATATATATATATATATAATCTACCTACTGCTTGCCTCATAGGCATCACTCACTTGTTCATAAATTTCATGAGGAGTCATTAATTCCTGGTGCTGCTGTTTCTATTATTTTTTGTGATAGCTTAGAATCATCAAGATATATATCTTATATATACGATATAAGATATATTTATAAATACATTTAAACCTGTCTATAACAGAACCCAAGGGACTGAACAACTCTTCCATAGTAGGCAAATTTTTGCTATTCACAGGTTATCTACTATAGATATCCCTTGATTAATGCGATTAATAAATTTCTTGATATTATGTATATATCAAAATCGCATTAAATCAAATATAGTGGTACCTCAGTACTCGACCGAACAATCATCACCCTAGAACAAATTTTCGGTTAATAAAAAATACCGTATTTACTCAAATATAAGATGATCTCGCATAAAGGACAAGGTGTAACTTTAAAGATCAAAATAAAGAAAATTAGATTTATTAATACAATTCTAATTTTATTTTGTTTAATCACAAATAAAATATCAAATGCACGTAAATGCACACATTGTTCTGCAAAAATTACTGACATTTTAAACTTCAAGGAAAAATCTTGTAAAATCAACAACATAATTTGTTCACATAAAGCTGGACAATTGGGAATTTTTTTTTTTTTGCCAATTCTTAACAGTCGAATTCACTCTTTGTCAGTTACACTTATGAGTTTCTTTGAATTCTGATTTCCAAATAATCATCTGTTTTCATATGGGAATGAATTAAAACTTATATTGGGCTCTTGTATAATTTTGGAATTCAGTTCAAAAGCTTTGCTTTTCCTATTGCTATTCATTTTTACTCCTTACAATACACAAGAATGATTCAAATGACCCAGATAAAATACAAAAATCATACAAAAATGAAATGAATCCTTCGCTCGCACGTATAGGACAACCTAAGTTTTTGAAGCAGTGAAAAATGGATAAAAACCTTGTCTTATATGCGAGTAAATACAGTATTTTTATTTTAACTTTAAATTTTTCATTCATCCATAAAAAAATGAATAACAAATTTAAAAATAAAATAAAACCTTACAGCTGCCTATCTTTGACAAAATTATACTCAATTCAGTTCATTTTTTTCATAAGTGGAAAAAAAAACTGCGTGCAGAACACAATCATCAGCATATTTTACAATCATTTCAAGTGGATGGTGTTTCAACAATATGTGTCTGTGACACACTAAGATTTGTTGCAAATTCATGAGTTATTATTCATCATTCTTTAACAATTTCTTCCCGCAATTTCTCTTCAACAGCTTTTGAGGATCTGTACATTTTGTATCCTTTAGTTCAGAATTTTCCAAACAAAACTTTCAAAATCACATTTGACACATTCAGAGTTTAGAAGCATCTTTTCCATACAGGTATACCTTGACTTATATCGTTTTGAGTTATGTCGTTCCCGATTATACGTCGTTTGTCAAAAAAGTATATGGAAAAATAAAAATCAAGTTTAAGTCATTTTACTCGACTTTACGTCTGTTCGCCACAAATATTGAAGTCGTAATATTACTAGAAAAACATTTAAAGCACATAAAATCATATTAAAATATATACATTTACAAGTATGTACTGTATTTACAGTACATGCATTTGTAAATTTAGATTACTTTTTACTGTACTATATAAAACACTAAAATTTATTTGTTTGTAAGCTTAAAATAGATTCTTATATATTATTAAAAATGCATTAATAAATAAAATACAGAACCAGGAATGGTAATTTTTGGTTTAGCCTAGTGACAAGTAGATTCGGAGACAAGTAAATTTGACTTATGTCACTTTTCGACTTACGTCGCCTCTCCTGGAACCAATTACCGACGTAAGGCGAGGTATACCTGCACTTGGAATGAGTATTTTTTACTATTTGTATAGTGTGATATACTTTACGAAACTTTAAAAGCATTCATAATATGTGTGATGTGTGTTTTATCTGCAGATATTTTAACTTGATTTTATTCAAACGAAATGTGATGTAAAAAGTTTAAAATAAACTTCAAAACAAAGAATACAATCTTATATCCAGAATAATGTGTTAAATTTCACATGTAATTACATCACATATTTATGTTAAGTAAAAACAGCTGTTTTTATAGATATATACGAAAACTTTCTGTTCAAATCTCAATAAAATTACTGTAATATGGTAGTCGTATTTTGCTATTCTGTATTGCATATATGTTTTTTTGACTTCTTTATGATTTTACATGCTAGGCTTGTAAACTTGTTAAATTTGTGTTAAATCAGATAAAGTTACTAATTTTTCTGTTAAAAGGCCAGATTTTCCTTTCCATTTCTACATTAGATTGGTTCTGCAATATACAGGTTAAAGGTCAAGGGGATGAGGCGATAGAGGGGGTCATTTGTCATATCTTGATTGGGTCAGATTTAATGATGATTTTACTAATTATTAGCATTTACAACTTTTAATAAAACTCATCTTTATCCTCAAAATTAAGCTTTATGGCATTTTTTAATAATTAATAATATGATATTTTATTTTAAAAACTTTTAAAATTGTGTGTAGTGCAAGCTGTTATAAAAAGTTTATTTCTAAGAAAGTTATGCAAATTGATGCTGGATTTTTTAATTTAATATGATTTTAACATTTTAATTAAAATCTATTTGAAGATTTGAATATTAAGAATAATTAAATATTTTTGAATTTTGGTTTATTACAGAACATTAATAAATAATTAAATTCTTTACTTTAATATATTTAAAATTCTCTATTTTCTATATTTTATATTGTATAACATTGAGTTTATTCTAATGTAGCCTGATAAAACTTGAGTTTATTATGTTAATAACTTTTTATATTGATTTAGCTTAGGATAACACACCGAACTCTAACAGATCCACTAAAAAGGTAAGTTGATTGTTTTTACTATCTTAAATTATTTAAGTTTTCTTATATTAATATTTACTTTTCAGAAGTTTTGTTTATAATACAAAATATTTTTATAATTGAATTACAAAATATTTTTGTATGATGAATTTATTTCATGACCCAACATAAATGTGTAACAGATCATTAAATATATATACTTTTTGACTTGATAATAACTTGTTGGCATAATGTATTGAATATATTCTATATTTTCAATACATTTTGCTATATTTCTTTTGTTTATATTTTTGAAGTTTGAAGCAATGTTAATATTTTATTATTTTAGTATTACAAACAAGTTTTGTAGTCTCTTGAAGTTTCTTGTAGTAGGCTTTTATCTGTATTATTATTTTACTAGCAGATGAGCCCGGCATTGCTTGGGTTAATGATAGTGAAAATTAAGATTATTAGATTATAGCTGATCTTACCCATTTTTACCAGATGCAAGAATTAGGTTCACCCTCTTCTGAGACTAATTAGAGAATTTTTAGATGGGTTTAAAAATATGTTCAATTTTCTGCAAAAAACCACACTTAAAATAGTACAGTAAAATCCAAATTTGGGGTAATCCTTAACTCTCTCCCTCTCCTCTGTAGGGGAAATTTCAGAAAGGCTTTTCTTTGTGTACATTCTCATCACATACCCTAACTGTGTACTAAATTTCAATTTTCAACTCTTAACTGTTTGGCCTCTGCACTTAATAATAATAATATTATTGTTATTATTATCTCATCAACCCATCTTGATCTAAATATATAAAATTGCTTGTCCTGACTGACTCATTCATTCATTCACTGATTCATCATCGCCCAGAGCAAACCGCTTAACCTAAAGAGGTGAAATTTGGTACACAGTTAGGGTACGTCATGGAAACGCACACTAAGAAAGGATTTTTCGAAATTCCAACGCGGGGGGG